TCCCTGTGCCTGTATGAGCCTCCTGCAGGTGCTCAGGCTCTGAAGACATGCATGTTAGATTATTTGGTGATTCTAATCTGGCCTTAAGGATATGGAATAAAGTGCACTGCAGTGCATACGTGTTTAAAAGTAAGCATGGAAACCTCTTTCTTCATCACCAAAAGAGGTAAATAGCAACATAAATGAAATTAACAAAAATATACCCACATCAGCTGACATAAATCCAACTAGCCAAATCTCTTGTTACTTTACATGTATGGTTTCAGTTGTAATGGTAATACTAATACATTTCTTCTTGTTTACTAGCTTTGTCCGCATATCTAATAGTGTAAAACGTGTGCATGCCTGTCTTTGTTTCTTCTTAGCTCCTATGCAGCTGTGCACAGTTTTAAGCAGGACTGACGATAAACTCCAAACAAAGCCCTGAAGGTGTTTGCACAGCCACAAAATAAAGAGGCTGGTTAACAGTTTTACACGGCAGTGTTCCCATGTCTCTCTCTGCTGTGGGCCTGATGGATCACCTGACAGAATAAAACAATGATGTGAACCCAAATACATATTTTGTATCTTTTAATTTGAAGTGCGTTGATGTCACATGCCAAATGTTTTACACCACTTGGTGGCCATCTTGAAATGCCTCTGGGTACCTATTTTGGCAGGTATATTATTTAATACTCAGGTTTAGCACATGAATGGTACATTTCTTTGAGTGCCATGTTTCCAGTATATTTCTCTGCCGTGTTCCCACAATAACAAATAAATGAACACATTTGTTTGACTGTGGCTTCTGCTGCGGTTTGAGTTTTAGTGTTAACTTGTCTTCCGTCACTCACTCAAACTGCGCGTGAATCCTTCGTTCCAGGGTTCTCAAACTGTGAACCACTGGCCAGTTGTTGCCCGTGGTAACATTTCCTGCAACCCACAGGCATCACAAAGATGGTTATTTGAATTCATTCACCATCATTGTGGGCATTGCTCTTAGATTCCAGCTCTTTTGGCCTGAAAGCAAAGTAAACCTCTTCGGCATGACATCTGGTGTTGAGACACGAGTCATAAAAATGAGATAAACCCACACAAAAATGAAAATTAACAGCATAAACCATCTGAGGAGTACGTGGTGTGTTTATTTTTCCTGTGTGTTTCCTGTCCTCAGTCACGCTGGCTTCCTAACTTGGCACTTGGCAAAGTTCTTCTAGAAGCAAGCCTCAGCCACCTTGAAACACCTCCGTGCTCTTAACCGAGCAGCTATTTTGCAATATTATCAAAATTACTTTCATGACTTTGTAAAAATTGCATGCATATAATCACAGAATCATCATTGCCTTGACTCTCTCTTTTATAATCCTACAGGGGGCATTGTAGTGTAGGTGCAGACTTTGGCCTTTCCTTTTCCTCCTCACACATGAGCGCTGGTTGCAGGTGGAGGCAACAGGTTGGATAACAGTAGAGAGAAGAGGGACAGAGTGCAATTTATTTACACCAGCAGCTCACAATACAGTGACTATTAGCATCCATTAAAAACAGGGGACTGTGTTCATAAAAAGGGGAGTGGTGAATGGTCATATTTCCTTTTGTTAGCGGTGAAACCTGCTGTTTGATAAGAAAGAAAGAGGCCAGAGCAAAAAAATTCCATGATTATCACTCACACCTTTCCTCTCCTCGCCGCGGCGTTCCTACATAATTGTAGCAACGGGAATGTTTGCACTACAGAACAGCTTTACTATTGATTAGCATTTAAGTGTTCTTATTGCTGCCTTGAGGTGTGTTATGTATAAATGTGCTTTAGTGTAACCATGGAGATGGGCTCAGAAAAATCCCAGACAGTTTTATTTTTTTACAACAACAAAGGGAGAGTTATGGCGAGGTTATAAAAAACTGGCCAGCTTCACTTCCGCTGTGAAGGGCTTTCCTCTTCTGGAGAACAACTTCATCTCTTTAGATCCTTGTCGTGTTACATTTATTTGTCCCACTAGCTTCTCATTTTATCTGTTTGATCCAACCGAAGCTGGTTTATCGGATTAATCCAAATTATTGTTATTTTAATATTCATTAACAAAGAGATAGTAGTGATAGTAGTCATGCTCAACATTGAATCATTCATAGAATTCTTGGTTAGTGCTTCATATTTTATCTTCAGGTGATGGCTACACAGCACCACATTTTCTTTTCCTTCTTCCTGATTCTCTAGAAGCGAGGCTGGCAGGACGTTGACACACTGCTGAGGTTTTTTTCTCTTGGAGTATCAGTGGTAGTGTAATACTACGCCAGGTGAGTCACTAAGCAGCTCTCCATAAGAGTTGTGGCTCTGAG